ATGTTCTCAATTAAGTTAAGAACTATTTATAATATCATTAACCGCGCCGAAAAAGAAAACAGGTTGGAATTAAAGCACTCCGGAGGCAGACCAGCAAAGCTCACTAGACGCGATCATTAAAAAATTTTAAAACAGATCAACAATAATCCTCAAACTAGCCTCAGACAGTTGGCATTTGACCTAAAAAATGACAGCAAGAAGACAGTGAGCCACGAGACAGTTCGTAAAGTTTTCAAAATGCATAAATAGAAGCCATTACTATCTGCAGTAAATATTCAGAGGCGGCCTAATTTTTCTATTGCCAATGTCAACAAGCCCGTGGAGTACTGGGATGACGTAATTTTTTGTGACGAGACAAAAATAATGTTATATTATCATGACGGACCCAGTAAAGTTTGGAGAAAGCCCAATACAGCTTTAGAAAAGAAAAATATATTACCAACAGTAAAGTTTGGCAAACTCTCTGTAATGGTGTGGGGTTGCATATCGTCGAAAGGTGTTGGTGAGCTGCGCATATTCAATGATGTTATGACGAAGGAGTTTTACTTGGACATTCTAAAGAATGAATTGTCAAAGAGCGCAATAAACCTTGGTTTTGTAGATCCCCAAAATCCCAACAAACAGAGGTACAAGCTTTATCAGGACAACGACCCCAAACACAAATCGTTTCTGTGCAGGACTTGGCTGCTGTACAATTGCAGCAAAGTCATTGATACTCCTGCCCAGAGTCCTGACATAAACCCAATTGAAAATTTGTGGGCTTTCTTAAAAAAGCGCGTGGGGAAACGGACCCCAACAAACAAAAACGCTCTCATCAAGGCCATTCAAGAATAATGGATAAAAATATCCCAAATATATGACCTGCATAACCTTATTGAGTCTATGTCTCGTCGTCTGCGGGCTGTAATGGATGCTAATGGCCAATATACCAAATTATTATATATTATTAATTGACAGCGCAATATTTGCCTTTTTTTAGTTTTGACTATTTTTTACCTTTTGTGTTTTGAATTTTGTTATTTTTGTGCCTTATATCTAAGAAGAATACTTAGGATAATAACTATATGCTAAAAAAAAGTTTAGAAAAAATAGTTTAAGTCGGTAAAATATAAGCTTAAAAATTAATTTGTGTGATGTTTTTCATTTTGCACACAATTACTTGACAAACTGTATATAATTTATGGGGTCGGAGATGCTTCCTTCTTTCTGTTACATACATTTGCACAAATACATTATACCTCTTATACTCATTTTTAATGGGCTCAGGGTATATAAAAAAAGCAGCTCGTAACATACCACATTACTTGCCACCGTCTCTAGTCAACAGCCATTCCAATTATTCATAGTTCCAGAAAAAAAAACTACTTAAAATAGCAGCACAGAAAACAGTTCAATCGCAATTGCAACGCTTTTAATTGAATTCATGAATGTGTGTGCATACATGCCCAGCGGACCGGCACTCGAGCCTTTAGCGAGAGTCTCGCAATATGCTCACAAATGAGCTCGTTTGTGAGCAGAAAACGAGTGGGGTACATTTTTGTCGCAAAACACTCACACACGAGCGCTGCAGTGAGATCTTTGCGATAAAAATGCGAGTACAGTAGAGAGAATGGTGTGTTGTTTTTGTTTCAAATATTAAAAGACGACGCGGAATTTGTCGTAATCGTGCTCAGAGAGTGCAACATCGTCAAGAGAGAGAGAAAGTATAAGTGACGCGGCATTCGGATGCTGTATTGTTTTTGTTACCTACTCAGCTCGTAAAATATGTATTTTTTAGGGGTCGCAAAATGCCCCTTTTCTATTGTCCTCCGAAGCATGAAGACACATGAATCTTAGTGAAAAACAGTTAAAATTGAACTTCTATAGAACTTCTTTAAAATGTACTCCACGTGGTATTGTTAAACGAATTGTTGAGCCTGGCGAGTATGTTCACTATGGTTTAAAAGACGCGTTAACCGATTTCCTTACCAATTTTACTTATCTATCTCCCAATATAAGTTTAAATATTAATGTAGTCGGGCTTCCATTGTGTAAATTTTGATTGAGATTGATTTGAGAGGATTATGTTATCCATCACGAACCAATGATAGCTTCCGAAACCGTCTTCAACCAGAGCACCACAACATACAAAGCAATTCATACTAGAAAATTGATTGTTTTTGTAAATTTGTTTCCACTAGACTATATGCACGAGGTTTGTCTTGGCGTCACAAAATGTTTTCTTTGAGTCGGCACTCCCTTACTTCTTTTAATAATAAACAGATGTACTTAAAAAAATGTTTACGTACAGAATTTAATAGAGAAGATAGATCTTTAGATAATCTCGATAGATTTAATGCCACCGAGTTTCGTACTTTTTTATTATATACTGGACCCATTGTCTTTAAACACATTATAGATTCAAGTTTATGCAATCATTTTATATTACTTAGCTTAGGAATTAGACTTATTCTACACAAGGAGTATTATGTCACACAAAACTCTCTTGCATCCAGTTTGCTAAATGACTTTGTAAGCCAAGTGCATACTTTCTATATTTTTCCAATGCTTACATTAAATTTTCATTGCTTAAAACATTTAGGCAAACAAACTTTACAATATGGTTTTCTGCAGACCGTAAGCTCCTTTCCATTCAAAAAATTTCTGGGGTATCTAAAAAAATTTGTGAAAAAGTCGGACAACTCCTCGGACAATTATACAACCGAACTGTAGAACGGAGTATTTTACCTCAAAGAAAAAACTTTAAATTACAATGGGTTCAACGGTAAAATTTCATATAAGCACTGATATTTTGATCTAAAATATCGCGATAGTTTTTTTTTTGAAAAGGGTAGCCAAATATGTGGTGTACAATACATAAATATAGATATTGAAGACAAAATTTGCATGGCCGATTGGTTGTTGGCCTAGAGCCCTTTTTTCTTTTCCCCAAACTCAAATTTGAAAGTATTGCTACATAATGTTGAAAAAATATCAGGCAAAATATTTCATTTTAAAGACAATGATTTGTCGTATAATTTTGTTTTGATGCCAGTGAAAATGGAGTGGGCTACGAAAATAGTCCAAATTACAGAATAGCAGGTAACATATTGACATACAATAATTTTACTTTTAATGTATATTCTATTCATTTTTATTTAATCTATTTTCAGTCTCATCTAATATACCCTTAAATACTCAAGGAAATAGTATTTCAAATGATCAATGGGATAATTCGGGTAATGTAATGAGAAAAATTCGCATTTAATGCACATTTTTAAAAATATATTTGCTGAAATATTGAACTTATTAAGAAAAAGCATTGACAAAATGATTGAGATGATGACAGAAATTGATAGTCAAGGGGCAGAAATTATTTTTAATAAGAAATGAAATATCTATTAAGGGACGAGTTTATGGAGAGGCGCACAAGGCAAAATTGACGCTGCCAAGTACACCAACCGCTACTCTTGGGGACTTTGAGGCATTTGAAGAATATCTCAAAGAAAAGAAGTCCTTGAAGAATTTGGTAAGGAAACTTGAAATCAAATAATTTTACTATTGGGTCATAAATTTCACGTTTTCTCCTTAATCTTTGAATTAGTCGCAAGTTCTAAAAAAGAAACGTACGACAAATTCATCAGGATCTCCTGGCGCTAGATAGTAACATAGAATGTTGCTAAACAATGCTTCTGGCGTGGAACAGAGAAAAAATGTGTTGTAGAGGCCTTCGAACCAACCACATAAGCAATACGGAGTAAGCATTACTTTTATAACCTGTATATGTGCAAATCATATTATTATTAATATAATATAATTATTAATATAACATAATTAAAAATATAATATTATAATGTTATTGTCTACAAATGCATTTAAACAGAAGTTTGAGCTGGAATACGGCGAGATTGACCGCGTAACACAAAAATATTTTGAATACGCGCAGAAAAGAGTGGCGCGCTTAGAAAAGTCAGATGCCAAAAACATAATTTTTGTTGTCTTTAATTAATAGTTATCAATAAAAATATTTTATTAATGTATTAATACGTATGTATATGTACGTATCACAAAAAATATTTTATCAGACTCGTAAGAAATATTAAAAAGGGCTCGCAAAACATACCCCATTTCTTGCGACAATCGTAAATGAAACTTTCACTGCTACAAACTGAACGACATATGATTTATATTGCTATTATTTCCCGATGTGATTGCAAGAGTTGTGTCGGGTTAAGTCTCGTATTTCACCAGTTTGCGATATCATTTGCGTCAGTTTGGTCCGCTGGGTGTATACAGAAATTCTTGCCATTTGCAAACACGTGTCAATATAAGCACATGTTAACCATGTTAACATGTTATATGGTATGCGATAATATTCGTATAAAAAAAGTCAAAAAGTCAGACAAAAAAATTGATTTAATATTGTTGTTTAAATTAGTGGGTAGTTTCAATTGATTTATTTATTTAGTTAGTTTATAGATATGTGGCGGCGGCGGGGTGACGTTACTGTTGCTGCCTATATGCACAGCTGTTTATGTCGGCCGGGTGGCGTTGCTGTGTGCTTGGCCAATACCCCGATCACGCAACAAACAAGTATCAAGTATATTTTAGCAATAACCTGAATATAACATTTTTATCAGTTGTTCGCAAGTTCCTCTTTTTTTAAATAAAACTAGCTTATCAGTTATTTCCGTTAACAGGACAATATGTGTAAATAGCTAAAACTATTAAGTCAGTTCTACTGACATGTGCATATGTTTCATATTATCAGATATGCCTCATACACCATTTCTTTGGTTGTAGTCCTTGCTATTTTGGTTTTGAAAAGTTATGTATTACATATCAAACGGTTGGGCAGATAGACATTGCCAGATCATTTCCACCATTTATAAATTTTATGAATATATGTACATATGAACATATATGTATATATTTTAGAATGTGCCCTTTGTAAATCAACTTTTCAGATAATTCAACTTCGCACTTTATAAGAATATAAGAGGGTGAAATGGGCTACTTACCTCCATCATCCATTCAGCAACAATTTTGCGCATAGGCGGGGTTATGTCCTTTTGTACTGTCTTTAAATATGCTCCAAGAAACTGAGCCCTTACCTCCGACTTTAGGGCATTTTCTAAACAGCGATCCGATTTAAAAATGGGATCTGTAACGATCACATGTGCATTTTCATACACAAAACGCTTATCGCCTACAGCTTCTGTTTCATTTGTTACTGCAGTTAAGTTGGAGTTATTACAAGGTGTTGTCGAAGATATTACATACATCAGCTTACTCATATTGCAAGCAGAAGGCACACTGACAGAGACTGCTGGTATGCTGTCGGTTGAAGCATCTGCTGCTGTGTTACATTTTGCCATGGTCGAGAAGCATACTGATGAACATGTTATGCAGTTGCAATTGAAATTAGTTGTAATTTGTTGTACAATGGCCGTTTTTTTTTCATACCTATGTAATGGCTGTTCGGAATGAGTAACTATGCTTTCAGTACACAGCAAATCCATATTTTAACCAATTGGTATTTAAAGAACTATGCTAAACTATATAATTTATGACATGTAGTGTAAAATTTTATTACAGTTCAAATTTTGTTCACATTGAAATATGCACGTGTGTATGTGGACAACATTCAAAATATTTGTTTTTGGCGATAGCGACACGGCGATACACCCAACAAGTCAAGCAAGTCATAATAAAATTCGAAAATCATCCTGATTGACGTTAAAGCGTACATGTGTAAAGATTTACAACTGTTAGTCAATTTACATATTTATGTTATATAAATGTGTTATTTTATTATTATTAAATTAATGTAATAATACATTAATGCACATATATATGAGTTGAATATGTACGTATTATATCATATTCCATATTAATCTTCTTTTATACTATATTCCGTTTATTACGTGATTTATGTAGCTAGTTGGGCACATTATTAATACACGCGCACATTTTTTATTTATCCCACCAAAGCAGCTCAACATAAATTAAAAAATGTGTATAAATAAAACATTTTTATTAATGGTTTTGAATACCGGCAAACATACGCACATCTAAATTTCACTTGAAAAACAAGTAGCGATAAGTATCGTTGACTTGGGATAAGCATTGTATTTTTACTTAGGCTGTGTCTGCTATCACATCCAAAAAGTGGAAACGAACTTAAAACCTATATAAAAGCACTAACCAAAGAACATATAGAAGGGACATGCCGTGTTACCAAAGTGGACATAAAAAATATCGGTGCATCTGATCCAATGAGCGAGTAAGATATACATATGATGTCTTTGATCGCTTACACTACAGGAAACTGCTTTGGCTTACTCTCTTCCATATGATTTGTGCGATAGAACGGCATCGCTGTTTATTTTTATCTCGATCGCACTTACTTTCAGTGCTCTCAATGCTCTCTTTATGTCTATGTACCGTTTAAATTTTTGTGTGTGTATGTGTTCGGAAAATGCCGACTAATTCAATTATTCTCCAATATCTTCCCTTTTGAATGGACGAGTAATATGAAATAATGAAAGGGTTTGCCACGTCGATGCAAAATTCTTGCATTTTAGCTCGTTATTATTGGAAAGGGTACCTAACCGTTGGCATGTGTGCATTTAAAAGTTTTTGGACTTGCTATTCACGCATACTTGCATATTTTGTATATGAATAGAAGCATTTATGCGTTTGTGTGCCTGTTGGTTGCCTGCCTGTCCCTTGCAATATTTGACAATATTTTGGATTTTCTGATTTTTGACCTCTACACACAGACACACACACAGCCACAAATGTCTGTGAATGGGTAGATCATGGGCGCAAAAGAAAATATCATTATTGGCCCGCGTTTGACGCGCGCCCTTCTTTTTTATGATTTTGGGTTTGAATTGATGAATGAATGTTGACCCCTTATTACTTGCAGCTGCCCGTTGGGCCGAAAGGGTAAACATTTGGCAAGCACCTGTACCTGCATATGTAAGTCAAGTGACTGACTTAACTTATTTTAAAAAATTTGTGTAAAAATAAAGTCTTTAAAATATTCAAATATACCAAATACAAAAAAGGAGCAAATATATATTTGTAGTATTAATAATTTTATTGTCTTAAAATATTTCGCTTTTTCATATATGAATTTGATCATCAGGTAATAAGGGGTCAACATTCATTCATCAATTCAAACCCAAATCATAAAAAGAAGGGTGCGCGACAGACACGTGCCAAAAATGATATTTTCTTTAGCGCCCATGATCTGCCCATTCACACACATTTGTGTCTGTGTGTGTGTGTGTGTGTAGAGCTAGAAATTCAGAAATCACAAAATATTGTCAAATTTGCATCGGACAGGCAGGCAGGGGCCAACAGACACACAAGCGCATAAATGCTTCTATTCATATACAAAATATGCAAGTATGCGTGAATAGCAAGTCCAAAAACTTTTAAATGCACACATGCCAACGCGTAGGTAATCTTTCGAACAAGAACGAGCTAAAATGAAAGAATTTCGCATCGACTTGGCAAACCCTTTCATTATTTCATATTTCTCTTCCCCCCAAAGGGAAAATCATATGGAAGAGAGTAAGCCAAAGCAGTTTCCTGTAGTGGGAGCGAGGTAAAAAACAGCGATGCCGTTCTATCGCACAAATCATAGGGAGGAGAGTAAGCCAAAGCAGTTTCCTGTAATGTGAGCGATCAAAAGACATCATATGTATATCTTACTCGCTCGTTGGATCAGATCCACCGATATTTTTGGTGTCTACTTTTGTTACACGGCATGTCCTATCTATATGTTCTTTGGTTAGTGATAAAAGTAATAGCCATAGATAATTCTTATTTTTTCAGCGCAGCTCAAGATCAACCAAATGGGTCGTGGGTGAAGTCAATTTTAATTTACAGTACAGTTTATAAACAACAAGTACTCTATAATAACGAAGGGGCCGACGCATCGACTTGGCAAACCCTTTCATTATTTCATATTTCTCTTCCCCCCAAAGGGAAAATCATATGGAAGAGAGTAAGCCAAAGCAGTTTCCTGTAGTGGGAGCGAGGTAAAAAACAGCGATGCCGTTCTATCGCACAAATCATAGGGAGGAGAGTAAGCCAAAGCAGTTTCCTGTAATGTGAGCGATCAAAAGACATCATATGTATATCTTACTCGCTCGTTGGATCAGATCCACCGATATTTTTGGTGTCTACTTTTGTTACACGGCATGTCCTATCTATATGTTCTTTGGTTAGTGATAAAAGTAATAGCCATAGATAATTCTTATTTTTTCAGCGCAGCTCAAGATCAACCAAATGGGTCGTGGGTGAAGTCAATTTTAATTTACAGTACAGTTTATAAACAACAAGTACTCTATAATAACGAAGGGGCCGACGATTGTAAAATTTCGTGTAGCATCAACCCCAATTGACGGTAAATTTCCGATAATTTTCAACTAATTCCAATGCGTTGTGCTGAGAGAATGTGAGCTGTATACTATTCCCACTAACCATACAATGCATAGATATGTCAAATAGCAGAATAATCGAAACACGATAAATCGCAACGAGTGAGCCCCCTGGGTGCCTGCGACCATTTTACTGTGCCCAGATAGAGTTAGACTGCTGAGATTGGCAGCTGAACGCCGGCCTCGAAATCCGAACGTTCAGTATAAAGCCGCACAACGTCGCTGCGGCTGATGCTGTTTGCTAAAATATGTATGTTAGTTTTAAATCCATACAGCCCAAATACATATGTGTGTATGCATGAGCAGAGTTTACCTCGCTCTCACTCATTGCTTTGCGCGCTTGTGTGCATCGCTTTCTCCCTGCATAGCTTTTCAAACTGCGAGATCTACAAACATATAAATGTTTGTGTTGTGTGTGGATGTGCGCATAAGTAGATCACGGCGTTTGTCGCGAAACAGAGATACATATTTTCTTCAATTGTGTGCACTTTGTGCCTGTGGTAGCAAAAGGCACACACATTCAGATGCTCTATCTTGTATTTCTTCGTCCAGTCGGGCATAATGAGAAGGATCTTATTTATTTTTATTTAAAAAAGCGTAAATGACCCAAATGAAATATTTATATTTTATGTTCTGATATTTTTTTTTTTTTTTTTTTTTTGTTTGTTTATTGTATTGGATCAAAAATAGCATACATTTTTATTACAACACAGGCTTGGCTTAGGTAATGTTTCTTCAAGCCTGTTTGAGTCCTCAGGCTTTATCGTGGACCAACGTCAAAATCGGCTTTTTTGAATAAGACTGCATCGTCACTTGGGTAGTCGGTGGACTCTGGGGCGTCTCCTGTGTCGTGCTCGCCCTCCCCTGAACCCAAATTGGTGATCAGGAAGGATGGCCATGTGATCCATAAGTCTTGCAAGTCGGGCGACAATCAGTCTTTCCCAGACCTTCGACAAGGAAGGCAGGAGACTGATCGGCCGATATGACTTAGGGTCATATTCCGGCTTGCCCGACTTATGGATCATATGGATCCTCGCTAACTTCCACTGGGCAGGAAAGTGTTGCGTCCTTAATATGGCGTTGAAGATCAACTTTATAAAAGGAGCGCGCGCATTGGCAGGGCCTTCAGGGCGGTGTGGCCCGGAGCTTTAGATCTAGGAAGAACTTTGACGGCGTTGATTACCTCTTCCACGCGGATGGGACCGATAAGTGGTGACATCTGAATCGGAATCTCCGACGCTCGGGTAGTCTCATCGAGCTCTTCTGGAGAGGCCGAGTTGAATGTTGGAAACCGTTCCTTTAGGTGGCTGGCGAAGGTGTCAGCTTGTTTTTTAGTTGTATATTCTGACAGCAGAATTATTCCGATAGCGTGTTTTTGTACTAGGGCCTCCACCCGTCATCGGGTGGGGCCAAGAGTGCATATCTATTGGAAGCATGCGTGCCAACTAGACTGGTGTCAGTATTGTTCTGTTTTCGCCGCGCGGCAGGTGGGGACCTGCTGTCTAAGACTTTGCGCTTATCATTTTTATTTCTCGCCTGTGATTGAATCATTCGAGCCGCGGCTGCGGCGTGCGAACTGGGTTTGACGATATCTATTATACGCACTAGGGCGTCAGCGGGGTCTCTATTTGCACTAGCACCAGCATGTGGGCTGCTGCCGGGGTCGTCGGATTCCATTAAAGGGTAGGACGGTGAAACTGAAGTACTTCTCCAGACATCAGCGCGGAGAATTTGTTGGCAGCTGTTGTTAAGCGGCTGTTAAGCATTGAGGTGCTCGGCGGCGTAGCGGCGTCAGCATTTAGTTGGCCTACCTCTTAAGTTCGAGACGACCCCTTTTTACTCATTGTGAGTATGTTGCTGTTCTCAGCAGTTACTGGTTTGGTGATTTTTTTTGCATTGCCACTGACTGAGTGAATGTTAGCACGGCGGCGCTGACGAATTCCTCAATTTTGTTGACCACCTTATTTTGCGTTTTGGTTTTATTTCACTTAAAACAAATTGCTTTGTCAGCAAGTAGTTTTGTTTTTGTTTTTGCCGTTTTCGTGTTTTCCAATATTTGATGCGTTGCAATCTTTGTGCGGGATTGCAAAAACCGTTCTGAATGTTCATGTGCAAAATTGCTATTTGTCATGCTTGTTGTAAGGGTAAGGCTACCTGAACGTTGGCATGTGTGCATGATAACTTTTTGGGCTGACCAAGCACGCATACTTACACACTTTTCTATATAGATCGAAGCATTTATGTGTGCGTGTTGGTTGCCTGCCAGTCTGCCCGATG